TCCAAGAACATCAGTATTTTCATTAGCAGCTCTAATATCAGTTTGTTGATCTAAAATATCTAACATTACTCTTCTCTTATCCATCTCAAGTTTCTTTGCTGGTGGAATTTTTGGTTGACCTGCTCCTCCAAGACAACCTCCAACACATGCCATCATTTCAACTACATCAACTTTTAGCTCTCCTTTTCTAATAAGTTCACAGGCATGTCTAATGGCATAACCACCATGACAAACAGCACCTGTGATGATAGTTCCACCAATGTCAACAGAAAGATTTGTCATTGTTGATCCACTTGCAGCATGTTTAAAAGTTTCTTCCTTATTAACAGTACAAGTGTTCCAATCAACTCCTGCATTACGTGCAATTACTCTCAATACAGTTTCACAAACTCCTCCAGTCTTTCCAAAAATGTTAGAACCACCAGAAATACGTCTAAATGGTAAATCACATTGACCATCTTCAGTTTTAGCAAGTGCTTCTTCTCTTTCTTGTGTAAATTTACATTCTTCAGGTGGAAGATGTTTTTTGAAATAAGCAGCAATTTCATTTGAAGTACATGAAGCATCATAATCTTGATGAATTTGTTGTCTTTGAGACTCTGTTTTTTTAGCAATACATGGCATTATTCCGACAGTGTAAAGATCTTCTACTGCAATTCCTACATCCTTTGCCCATCCTCTTTTAATACAACCAGCTAAACACCCAATTGGTGAACGGGCAGTAGAGACGTTTGGAATTAAGTCAGGATATTCTTTTTCAACAAGTTCAATCCAAGCAGGACAACAGGAAGTAATAGCAGGTCCTTTTCCTTCTTTTTTCATTTCAATAACTTCAGCATAATCATCCATTGTTGTCTTATCAGCTCCAGCATCAACATCAAATACATAATCAAATCCAATAAGTCTTAAACAATGAACTAACTGAGCCATAGCTGTACTTCCAATAGGCATTCCCATAGCCTCAGCAACACCTAAACGGGTTGAAGGTGCAATCATAGCAACAAGCTTCTTTCCAGCTTCTTTAGCTTTAAAAGTATCAACAAGATGGTCAATTGGTGTAATAGAACCAAAGTTACAAACCAAAGAACATTGACCACATCCAGTACATTCAGACTCATCAATAAGTACTCTTGTCTTGTCGGTATTTTCTTGAGAGAGTTTTTCTCTATTAGGCTGAACAAATGGTGGAATTTTTGGTGGTTGTTTTACTAACACTCCAAAGGTACATTTAGTAGCACACATTCCACAACCCATGCATTTAGACCAATCAAATTGGATACTATGGTTATGGTCATGTCCGGTGACTGTATGTGATGGTTTAGGTGGCATTGTTCTTTAAGTTAGAATGAAAAAGTACTATTTCCTCATCTTTATATAATTACTTAAACCGACTTTATTTACTTCAAATTTCTTTTCATTGCTTCTTTTTTATTCTTCTTGTCAAAGAACTAGCGACTTAACAAAACCAACAAATTGTTTCGACTTCTAATTTCATTATTGAACTAACTTAATGTATTGAAAAAGTGTGTAGGTATAATAGGATTTGTAGGAGTCTTGATAATTATTTCATATGTTAGTTATAATTTTAAAAGAAAATCTAAAAATATAATTTCTATTTATTTTGTAACAAAAATAACAATTTCTTTAAAAAAATAAAATTATGTTATATATTCCATTATTAGTTTGTTATTGAACAACTTCACATTTACCAGTTTCTATATTGTATATCATTGAAACAATGTTACATTGACCCTGTTTTATCAAAGGTTGTAATAATGGGTTTGAACGAAGACATTCAGCGTGTTGTACTGCACTTTGAATACAAGTAGAATGAATGTCATTATTACATTTTTCAGCAATTGGGATAAGGTCTGAAAGAATAGAAGAAAGTGCATTCTCTGAATGTGCATGTTTACAAGCAGCAGTACAAGCACCACAAGAGGTATGACTTAAAACGACAATAAGAGGAGTTTTTAAGTGAGTTACACCATATTCTACTGACCCTAATTCTGTTTGTCCAATAACACCACCAGCAGAACGAACAACAAAAATATCTCCAAAATTAACGTTAAATAAATATTCTGGAGGTGCTCTTGAATCAGAACAACAAATAATTGTAGCAATTGGTTCTTGTTTATTAACTAATTCCTTTCTTCTTTCTTTAAAATTATATGTTATTGTTTTCCCTTCAACAAATCGGTTATTACCATCAAGTAAGAAAGTAAGAGCTTGTTGTGGTGTTAGTTGGGTCATAAGAAATATTTTCTTATAGATTATTCAACAAATAGGTTAGATTATTAATAACGGATTTGTCTCTCTTTGATTGGTCATTTTATTTTTATTTTTTCTTATTTTTAGTTTTCTTTTCTATTCGTTTAATAATTCATCCTTTCAGCTCTTTAAAAAAAATGTTCACTCGAACAACTAATAATACGTTTTTTTAGTTTGGTCCACAATTCAATTTATTCAAACTTAGAAAAACTGTTATATTTTATGAATATTTTTTTTTTTGAGTTTAATTTATTTTCAGTTTAAATTGACGTACATAATTTTTTAGTTTAACGAGACTAAATCTTCTTACGTTTGTCTCTGTCTTTTTAAAAGGATGACTATCCTTGTTTTGTTTTTTAAAAATTATAAAAGAATCATTTATTATTTTCATTGAAATGAAAACAAAAATACCTTGAATTTAATTAAAATTGATGTCGTTATTTCTGAAAATAATGAAAAGTGAGACTCATGATATTATCATTTAGATGAAGAAATAATTGAAATGAACAAAGTCATAAACTTTGAGATGAACGTCTTGATGAAATATTTCTTGAAGGTCATACCAAAATATAGGAGAAACAGAAAACATAATATAAAGAAGAATGACGTGACTAAACTATACAACAGCGTTAAGCAATAAGATTTTTAATTGAAAAAAAGAAACAAAGTAACCAAATATAACAATCAAATTAGTTGAGTGATGGGTGGTGGTAATAATTTAATAATAAATCAAATAATAAACATCAAATGAATACCACTATTTATCTATTTTATATTTCTTTATTCTTCTTATTCATTTTATCGTCAATGGATTAATTAAACAAGAATAATATAATCATTTAAATAGTAGTTGTTAATTAAATGTGAATAGAATGAGGAATAGAATATGAATAAATATAGAATAAGTAAGAGATTAGTTCTTCTTTCCCAACTCTCGCACAATTAAGTAGAACAAATCCTTGTTAACGTCAGTGAAGGTTCCCAAAAAAACTGATTGACAATAAACACTTTGGTATTCACCTCTGCTCTATTGTGCAATCATAGTTTTGATACTCAAATCCTTTCTCTCTTATTTATCTGTTTTTCTTCTTTTCTTTTTTTTCTTTAAATACTCTCAAAATACCACAAAATATCAAATCAACACAAAATATAACAAACGTAACCATTCAATCACAATATAATTAATATTCAAATAAGAAACAAAATGAAATAACATAAAAATAGAATAACTATCATATAAAGAATGAAGATAAATAATTACAATTAATTAATGACAACGATTTGCTATATTTACATTTTCATTATTTTAATAAATTATTTTTAATAATATTAGAAGTTTTATTATCATACTCTTTATGAACAGAGCATAGTACTGATATGCTTAGTTGTTACTATTAGAATGTAATATAAATAAGTAAAAATGAAATTTTATTTTGGGTATTAATCAATTAATATTTCAACAACAAATAGTAAATTATTATAGAATGTTTTAGAAGAATGTAAATCGTTAAATTCAATTATGAAACCAACAAAGAATCATTATTTAATTATTTATAAACATTCAATAATGTATTATATAAATAATTATATAAATATTTAATTTGTTGTATTGATTAAGTTATAAAATAAATTAAATACTTTTTGATTATCTTCTATTAAAGATTTATTTAAATATTGTAATAAATATTCGATTACCATGTCATTAAAAAAAGAAGAATGAACAAATACAACAGATGAAGAATGAATATAATATGAATAAATTATCATTGATATTTAATATCATTTTGGTATTATTAAAAGATAAGAAAAGAAGTTAAACTATTAATTTAAATAAATAAAAATGAACCAATATGTTAAATAAATGAGTTTATTAAATGAATATGGTAATTTTAAATTATCAATATGTTTTTCATTAATAAAGAAGATTTTATTAAATATGAATTATTAATAGTATTAATAAATGAATTATTTATTATTTATTTTCACGTCGTATTTTTACACAATATAATATTAAAATTAAATGATGTACAATGATTTGATTTGACTATTAATAGTTATGTTAGTTTATCATTTTGTAATTGTATTTATTATAAATTAAAAACACATAAAATAAAAGAAACAATAAAAAAATGAACTAATTCATTAGAATGTAACACTGTACATATTAAAGATAGCCAAAAAGAAGAATGATAATATCTATTTATAATAATATTTATATTTCTTATGATTTTATAATCCGTCGTAGTATTATTAGTTGTTTCCTCTTTCATAAAAGTATTATTTCTCCATATCATAACTCTCAATGAAAATAATTTATAAAAATGAATTTGAAACAAATAAATTTAAATTTTGTGTATTAATTAATTTCTACTACAAAACATAAAATAAACGTATTGAATAAAAAAAATAAAGAAATAACAATAAAAATGATTATCTTATAATAGTTCATTACTTTGATTAACATGGAAATAAGACACAATCTTATAGAAGAATAAAAAACCAACCTTTTCATCATTTATCAGTGGCTGAAATAGGACATAATGATATATTTATATTTGCCTTTTATTATATTAGAATTAATTATACTCTTTTTTCAGTGTTTTGTTTCTTAATAAAAGAAGCAAGAATTTTCTCATTAAAAACAAAAAAATAAAATTTTGTTTTAAAAAGACTAACTAAAATAAAAAAAATCTTCAAAGAAAATACTAAGAACTTATAATTCTGTGATAATGAATCATACAGGAATAATTGAGAATAGTAAAAGATTCATTAATGAGTATAAGTCAGACATTGGACTATATTTTATTTTAATAATTATTAATAATTTCGTTGGATTCATTCCAACTCATCAAGAAATTCCTTACAAGGAAGACCCAAATTATATGTTTTCAAAAATTAATGATGTTATTCCAAGAACAATGAATGTTATTATTAATTTTTATATTCCAATTTGTGTCATTGTAATAATATCTATCTTTCAAAAGAATATAGAAAAAGGATTAACAATGCTTATTCCATTTCTAAATAGTGAAATGATTGTAGGAATAATCATTCAATTATTAAAACGATATTCTGGAAAACCAAGACCATTTTATAATACATATTGTATTGAACATTATAAACCAACTTGTAACCATAGTTTTCCATCTGGTCATACTGCATATGCTTTTCAAGGACAAATGTTCTTATCACTAATATTATTAGAATTTATTTCACAATACAAAAAGTCAACTAATTTAATTGTACAATTCATTGTATTTTTACCTTGTGTATGGGCTTTTGTTGTTGGACTAACCCGCTTTTATGATCACCACCATACTATTTCTGATATTCTTGCAGGTGGAATTATTGGAGCATTTATTGGATTTACAACATATTATGTGTATAAAAATAAAGTTTCTAAAAAGAAAGAATTAACAGATGAAGAATTATTTGCAATTGAATTTGAATAATACATTTATTTTCATTAAAACTAATAATGATATATCCTTGTTCTTTTATTTTTTAGTTTAATATCTTTATTTTTACCATTATTTTCATTTTAATTATTACTTTTTTCATCTTTGTTTTTATTGATTTGAGTCTTTGTACATTCTTTTAATTTTTGTTCAATACAAAGAAAAATCTAATTAATTTGATAATTTGTTATGTACTTTTAAAAAGAATAATATTTAATGTAAATTACTTAACAAAGGCATAAATATAATAATAATAACAATTATCAAAAATTCTATTTGAACCTTTATTCCTTTTGTTGAAATAAAAAAACAAAGAATGATAAATTGATAATTAATAATATAAATATATTTTATTAGATTAATTGAAATATCTTATTCTTAATTAAGAATTTTAATTCTTATTCTGTATTCACAAAGTCTCATTATTGAATTATTCTTATTATACAATAAACTTATAATACTTTTTAATACAAAATATTCTAAATGAATTAAAATAGAATAATACATTAAAATTAAAAAACTAAAATAAGAATAATTAATTTTTTCTTTTATTGGTTCTACTCATTCATTAACTAATAAAACAAATTCAAAAAGATTCATAGTTACAATGTTTAATACTTTTTATTACCACAAAAATTTGAATTTTATTCAATAAGAAATAAGTAATTATGTATTATGTTAATTATTTATTATGTAATAAAAATTTTATGTATTTCTTTTTCACAATAACATTTTCAATTTGATTATTTAATTTTTATTAGAAATTTCTTTTAATAAGTTGTTTCAATAAAAGTTCAAGTTAAATAAATAAAAAAAATAATTAAAACAATAAAGATTATTTAATTTCAAGATATATTTTTGTTATTTCATATAATATAAGAAATAGAATATTATAGAAGATTGATATCTTGAGTTGAAAGAACCGATAATTTCATAATCTATGAACAACCAATACGTACCACTTACATTACTTATTGTTGCAATAATCAATGCTGTTATTCATTGGAATGCTATATTAAATAATAATAAAATGATGGTACGATTAAGTAAATGTCCCTTTTGTTTAATTATGGGATTGTTTCTTTTTGTTTCACTTGAAGAAACACCTATTGTATTTATTCTTGGATATATATTTTCATTTCTTGGAGATTTCTTTTTATTATTTGAAGGTAATATATTTTTAGTTGGCATGTTATCATTTGGTCTTGCACATATTTGTAATGCATATGCATTTATATCTGTTTCAGTTTGTAAAATTAAATCTTTCAATTATTCTTAAAAAAAAAAACAAATAAAATTAATAATATAATTAGGCATTGGCATTTGAATGGACTGGAATTTTTGTTTTTATTTTAGTTTTTATTTATTGGACAATATTAAAGAATTATACTATTCTTCCAGAATATATGAGGAAAATAGTTTATGGTTATTTAACTATTATTTCTATTGGATTTTATGGAAGTGTATGTTTATTTAATAATGCACAATGGACATTATCGTCTCGTTTAGTTATTCTTATTGGATACTTATTTTTTATATTAAGTGATTCTATCTTAGGTGTTTCGTTGTGGGTAAAAACAAATTCATTTATTCGATTTTTAGTAATGTTCACTTATTATATTGCTCAATTCTTACTTGGATTGGGATATGTTCTTGGCTTGAATGAAAACCAAAGTTTAATTCCAATTTAATATTTTTTATTAAATTTCATTTAGGAATAAAAACTAAAACTTATTTGTTATTTTATGGAAGCTGTTTTGTTTGATTTTAATGGGACTTTAATATTTGATACTCCTCTTCATGCTTTTTGTTGGAAAGAAATGGCAAAAAGAATAAGAGGTACTCCATTAAGTGATGATGAATTTCAATTATTGAATGGTAGAACAAATAAACAATTAATTGAACATATTCTCAATAAAGAAATTAGTGATGAAGATGCAAAGAAGTATGCTGAAGAAAAAGAAAATTTATATAGAACTATGTTAATGAAAAGTGATATAAAATTATGTGATGGTGCAATTAATCTTTTTGAGGCATTAAAAAAATGTAATATTCCTTTTACTATTGCCACTTCAAGTGATTGGGGAAATGTTCAAGTGTTTATTCAAAAATACCATTTGGACGAATGGTTTGATATTGATAAAATTATTTTTAATGATTTTACTTTTAAAGGTAAACCTGCTCCTGACATTTATTTAAAAGCTTCTAAGAAATTAGGCGTTAATATTTCTCATTGTATTGTATTTGAAGATACTATTTCAGGTATTCATTCTGCATTATCAGCTGGTGCTACTCCAATAGGAATTGCCTCAGAAATGACTGTTAATGAACTACTTCAAATTAAAGGATGCAACCTGGCAATTCACACATTTAATGAGATAACAATTGAGGAGATGGTTGATTTGATTAAGAATAAATAATAAAGGGTTTTTGATGTTCTGTTTCTGCTCATTTTTTATTTCTAAAAAGTTTCCAAAAAATACTATAAAATCACTTAAATGTCACAAAGTGAAGAACATCTTAATAAACAGAAAACAGAAAAAGAATGTGAAAGTGATACTGTCTGTACAAATAAATTGAGTTGTATAGACACTCATGAAAATAATCATATAAATTCATTAAATACTAATGAAAGCCAAGACACAAAATTTGAACACGAAATTGAAATGGGAAATGTTGATGAACATGAAGTTAATTTGAGAGAAGAAGGTTTAACTCAATTAAATGAAGTACCTCATACAGGAAATGAACAACAACCAAACGACCAAAATAATAATAATAATGATGGTGATAATGATTATATAAATAATGACTATGATTCTGGTTTTGAGTCTTATATAGTAGTTATATTATTCTTTTTCTTTAGTCATATTTTTTATACTTTATTTATTATAGTTGATTTCATTCAACATTATCATTTAACTGAGTTAGTTAAACAATATGTAAATACTGGAGAAAATAAAATAAGGATATTAGTATATTGTATTCCTTCTATGTTATTATTTATTATAAAGGTGTGGCAAATAGGAATAGCTGATATGATAGATATTACTGTTATTCCAAATTCTTTTAGTGATTTATTCATTCATTTATATCTATGTGACTGTATTTATCGTTATATAAATTATTATCTAAAATTTTTAACAATATTTTTAGTTAAAAATATATTATTATTATGTAAATTACTCTCTATGATAGAATCACTTACTTTGTCTATAAGAGTTATTCTTCCTACTTTTATTATTTATAACTATCTTATTTCATACACTTCAATAACCAATCAATGGATTAGTTATATTGTTATATATCCAATAACATGGCTTTATGTGTTTGAACGTTGTCTTGGATTTGTTAATTTTCTTTCTTGTTTCTTTAAAGTTCTTAAAACCTTTTTCACTCAAAACAATATGTTTGGTACTTCAGTAACCGTAGATTCATTAGAAGACAAAATGTGCTTAATTTGTCAAGACACAGTTAATCGTCCAATTAAGTTAAAATGTGGTCATGTTTATTGTGAAGAATGTATTTTTAAATGGCTTATTCAACAACCAAGATGTCCTATGTGTAGAGAATTAGTAATACAACCACAGACATTTGTTGGTTTTAATGGAAATACTCGTTTTGTTCCGGCACTATACTTTTTCTAAATGAGATTTATTATATTATAGAATTTATTCATTTTTTGTATTTTTTATGATAGAAGAATTAAAGAATTATTCAATAAATAATATGATGAAATTAAACCAATTTTTCTAATGAATGTTGCTCTTCATCTTCCTACTTATAATGAGAGTCTTTTATTTCATTTTAATTAACTCCAAATACAATGAAGTTATTCAAAATACTCCTTTCTTCAATATCTTTGAGTTAATTAAATCTTTTCTAAAAGACTCTTACCACCAACACTTATCCTTTTAAATACATGTACTCTAATTAGTCTTTGTTATCTTAAAGCTCAATAAATGATAACTCCAGTATTTGTTAATATGGTAATATCTTATAGAAGATAATATTAATTTATAAAATAACATTGTTTCATTTAACTAACTAACAGAAACTGAAAGACATAAAGTTTTAAAATTTACTATTCATCACACAATGGCTTCTACCAATCTTCTTAAAATATGTACAACCCCTTCTCATACCACCAAAAATGAAGAATATTTATTATAATGACTTAGAAAATTAAAAATTAATTACTTTTGTCAAAGACTTAACATTATTTTAATTTAATGAAAAATTACTTCTTCTGTCATAAAGTGTGGTTTAACATTAGTAATGGAATTGACAATAATGAAATGAATAATCTCATAAATTATACTCGTTATTTACATAAAAATAAAATATCAAATTTCTATTTTTATTGAGACATCATTTATTTTTTAAATCTCTTAATTAATCTATTTTCATTATCTTAATCTGTATTTCATTATTCATATTTGTTTTCTTCTAATAGTCTCCTTAATATCGTAATAGGTACTATTATTTATACCACTCAATACACCAGCTTTATGATATAAAATATTTTTAATAATTAAAAAAATAAAATAAATTAGAATAAAATATAAAGAATAGTTTTGAAATATCATTATTGTGAACTGTAAATATTATTACAGCCAATACTTAAGAATCCACTCTTCAATTGAAGTAATATCTACATTATTAGCTAACTCTATTAACTCTTCGACTTGGTCATTACAATCCAAATCAAGATTATTTGGTAATATTGGATCAAATCTCATATATCGTTCTCCTAAAAACCCTTTTGCAACATCATCTGCCATAGACTTTCTACTCCACAAAAACCCATCAATGCATAATGGTAAAAGTTGTAATAACCCAACATCAGTATATTTGTTACTATCCATATAATTAATTGGTGGTCTTCCTGATGAAATTGAAAGACACACAGTATTATTTATATCTATTCCAAGTCCTCTTTCCCCAAATATATATGGAAATGCACAAACACATGGATTATTTTCAAAAATTCCACCATCAGCATATCCCTGATATGGTGGATAATAACCAACAGCAGCTGCTGAACGTAAACAAGCATCACCAATTTTACAGTCATATCCTGGAATAAAGTTATTGAAAACACAGGCTTTACAACATCTATTTGGGTCATTCTCTCCAGAGTCAAATTGAAATGCATTAATTAAAATATAACGTTGTATATCACTTAATTTTTTTTCTCCATAAGTCATTTGGGCAACATCAATAAGATATTTATTAGAGTACATTGACTCCATATATCCTCGGGACTTCTTTTCAAAACTATGTTTACACATTTCAATCATTAATTTTTTAATGTCTTTTGGATGAATCCCAAGAGCCAAATCAGCACAAATGAAACTTGATGCTGATACTCCACAAAATAAATTTACTTCTTCTAATAAAGTTGGAAATTTTTCTACAAGTCTTGAAAAGATAATTGCTTGAAGAATACATTTAATTCCTCCTCCATCAATAGAAATCATTCTAAATTTCTTTTTTCTATTAAAAGAATCAATAGAATTATGCATTTTATCATTAATTTCTATACTTTCTAATAATATTTGATATTCTTCTTCTTTTGTTAATGTTTTTACTACTTCTTTCTTTTTAAAAAAGCTACTTAATAATGAAGAATAATAAGCATTAGTAGGATTTTCTTTTACTTGTTGGATATCATCTTTATCAATAACCTCTACATCAGGTGGTGATCTTTCAATAGTGTTATCAATAATATTTCCATTGGTTTTTTCAGAAATATTTTGTTGGTTAATTACAGAAGAGTCAATTTTTGTTTGACATTCTTCAGATTTTGATGAAAGAATAATTTTTTTTTGTTCTAATTCAAATTCTTTTTCTTTTATTTTTGTCTTAACAAATTGAATCGTTTCTATTTGATTGGTAGTACAATAAAGAGCATAATCTAGAAGAGATTGATTGCCATTTGTAACTTGATTTAGTGGTGCTCCATTATCAAGTAATAATTGTGCAAATTTAATATTACCTTTCTCAATTGAAAGATGAAGAGGACTTTCTCCTAATGCATTTTTTCTTTTAATAAATAAGGGATATTCTTCAATTACTCTCTTACTTAATAACTCTATTAAGTCATCAACTTCACAATTTGAAAGATAATGAAGTATATTATTTTCAAAAGAATCAACAATATCTAATCTACAATCTCCAATTGATAATAACAGCACAATCACATCTAAACTTTGATGTAATAAACAACTCATTAATGGAGTTCTCCCATGTATATCTTGACAAATTAATTTTGAAGGACTATAATTTAATAATAATTCTACAAGCTCCTTATTATTTGTTTCACATCCAATAAAAATCAACCTATTATAAAACTTACTCTTTTTTAATTCTTCAAGCATTTCTTTATTATTGAGCTCTTTTAGTGCATCATTATTTTTATTAATGAATTGCTGATATAAATTAAGATAATTTGACATAATCCAAATTTCCTTATAAATGTTGTTTTTAAGTTTCTTTCTCTCTTTTTTTAGATTTAAAATACCAAACAAAAAAATTACATTTGTGTATTATTATTTATTTCGTTTCACTTGTTGTTGTTTCTTTTATTTTTTCTTTTACTTCTTCTTTTTTAATTTCAATTTGTTTTTTGACTTCTCCTTTTATATTAGCTTTAACTTCTTTTTTTATATCTTTCTTAATTTCTTTTGTACTCTCTTTTATTCCTTCTTTGGTGGCTTCTTTTACTCCAGCTTTAATTGCTTTTTTAACTCTTTTATTTAAATGATTTTTTTTATTCTTTTTATCATGAAACTCTTTATGAAATCCTTTTTTAAATCCTTTTTTCATTCCAACTTTCATTCCTTTCTTAATGTCTTCTATTATCTTTTTCTTTTCTTCTTCTGATATTTTTTCAAGTCGTTCTTCAATAAGTTTCATAATCTCAGCTTCTGTTCCTGTTAATTTTATGTTTTGTCCAGCAAATTCCCAATCATACTCAAACTCTTCTTCATCACTATTTTCATTACTACCTTCTTCATAGTCTTTGTTTGTTTCTTCTTCAGATAATAGTGGACTTGACTTAAACTCTTCTTCTTCTTTATTCATAGAGTTTCTATGTTTATCATCTTAAATCCTTTAAAAGTTCTTACCACGTCATACCAGACTTTCAAAAAACTGTTTGAATAAAATAATATTACTTTCGTAAAAGTAATATTACTTTGCTCATAATCAACCTAAATCCACTTTTAATATTTTTAGTACTTTTTAAGAATGTTTAAAAAAAAACACAAACAATGAAATAAAATATTTTATTTTGATTTTTTAATCTTTGTTAATACTTCATCTCTTTTTTCAGTGAAATGTCTCATGGCTTGAGTACAATTACGATAACATTTATAACAGTCAACAATAAGTGTTGTCATAAATCCTTTCATTTGGTAACCAGGAATAACATAATTAGATTGAGGAAGTGGTGTTTCTACAAAACAGTCATTTCCTTTTTGAGCAACACGAACAAGATATCCATTTATGTCATGAGTAACAACAATTACAATATCATTTGTTGAAAGAGAATCAAGTTGTAGTGGTTGATTTCCTTCAACAAATAATAATGTAACAATAGCATTTTCAAGTGCCATAGTTCTGTCTTCTTTTCCCATTAATGGTGATACATAATAAGCAATTTCACACCAATCATTTTGACAATAAAAATAATAATTTGTACAACTTAATTGACTTGTTATTTGTTGTAAACTACTTTCTTCAGTAACTTTCATAGCTGATGAAAAACATGATAAAAATTTATCAAATGAATTTGGGTATTTACAGTCTTCAACAATACTACAAATTGAGTCAGTATTGATATACCTCACACCAACTTCAAAATAAGTTGGTGCATTTATTTCATCATATCTCCACATTAATGGTGCTTTACCTGAAGGGTCCATTAATTTATATTTTACATTAGAAGCTGATGCCTCTAATAAACTTGAAATAAATTGCGTATTATACTTTCCTTCTTTCATAACTAAAAATTTGTCGAACATTGACCTATACTCTCCTTTTTTTGTTTTCAATGTACATAATATTCCATCTTTAGAATCTAAACACTCTGGTGGATATGGGGCTCCTTTTTTAATTTCACATATACTTAATATAACATTACCTAAAATTGAATCATAACCCAAATACATTTCTGCATCTTTCATATAAATAGACCATGGTCCATAAGGATGTAATAAAACACTTGTACTTTGATCACCAATTTTGAAATGATAAGACTTGGTTATTACTTCAACAGCTTCACCTGAATTTCCTTTTGGAACAGGAATATATCCCCAAATACTTGTTTGAGGTTCTTTGACTTTATCCTCTTTATATAAGTTAGTTTTTACACAACTTGGAGTAATATTAGGAATACTAGTTGTCTCAGATGATGGTTTTATAGGAGATACTTTTAATGACATTGTTACATTTTCTTTGTTTACAGCTAAAGCAGCACGTGAAGGAGGAGGTTGACTATATTTTGATTGAAGCTTTGAATCTTCATGAAGTTGTAGTAAATTTCTATATGTCTCATCACAGCGTTCTTTTAAACTATACACTCTTTCTTTATAAAATTCTTGTGAATTTACTTTAAAAGGATCAGACAAACTTTCTATCCTCTTTCTTTTTGGGATAGGGTGCCATACCACTTCTTGTGCTTCAATAGCTTGAAAATAAATTAAATGTAATTCACATACCTTATTCATAAACTCTTCTTTATTTTTCTTAATTATCTGTACCATTTCTTTGTTTCTTAAAGAAATTTTGGTAATTTGTTGTTGGTATTGTTGGACAGCTAAGTCAGGATGTTGGTTTGTTTTTAGAGCAGGATAAGCACTTGGATTTGCATTGATAATATTAATAGTTTTATTTAATTTTTCAACTACTTGAGTGTAACAATTTTGAAGATCTTCATACTTTTTTTTTGTAGCTATTAACTCATCTCTTTTATCATTAAATATCTGACCTATTATTTGATAAATAGTTTTAAAGCAATCTAAATCCAATTCTTCAATCTCCATCTTTCTACTTTGGTATTCTTTCTTTTCTCTCATTATTTCAATTTTTTTTGACCTTTCAATTGCATTCTTTAATTCTTGAGTAGTTGACATTTCTTTTTGTTATTTGACTTTTAAGTTCTATTATATTTCTAAAAATATTATTCTTTATTTTTTATGTTTTGAGACGATGACAAATCACTTTTTAATGATTTATAAATAGATTTGTTCTATATTTAAAATTTTTTTTTATAAAACGAAAAAAATACCAACATTTCCATTTTATTCTTATATTAATCATTCTGCTTCTCCAAAATATTTCATAACTGTTTTCTTTGTAACTAAATAATCTTTAAATGTATTTTCGCTGCCAAACCTTTCTTCAAATTCTTTCCATCTATCCCAATATTCTTCATGTTCTTTAACACTACATCTTTTACTTCCAATTGAAAAAATTTCTCTTGCACCTTCAATATCTTCTTGGGTTTCTAAATACTCAGCAAATGAAAGAGATAATTTCCATTCATCTATTCTGCCTATTGAATTTAAACCTTCTAAATATACTTTTTTTGTTTCTTCAAACCCAAAAACTTCATCTACTTGTTGAGCATATTTGATCCATACTTCACACTTTTCTTCATTAAGTATTTCATTAACTTCTTTTTTATACAAATCAATAACTCTTTTAAATGAATTATTCTTTATTTCATATTTAATGTATTGATCATACATCTTCTTTTTCCATTCAATAGGTGCACTTTCAATAGCATTTTCAAAAAGGTCCCGTGTTCTTTCTTTTTTCTTTTCTCCATACAATGAGCACCACTCATTAATATATTGATTATATAACATCCCTTTTACTGGATATTCAAAAATATTAATTCCTTTTTCATAAATTTTCCATATATCATCTCCATCTCCTTTATCTTTTTTTTCTTTAATATATTCTATTAATTCTCTCCCTGTAATAATTTTTAATTCTATCATTTTTTCATAAACACTCCATTTCCCCATTATATTGTGTGATATTTCTTCAATCTCAAGATACCCTTTCCAAATCATTCTTTCATTCTTTACTTTTGATTGTCTTAATGTTGCTTCTTCACATAATGCTCTTGCTTCATTTATATTATTATTTTTAATTTCATTTTGTATCATTTCATACCAAATTTCAGCTTCTTCTCTTTGTGTTAAATTGTCTTCTTTTGCTTTTTCAAATAATTGTTTTGCTTCATTCCTTTTATTCCCTTTAAGATACCATCCAATAAGTTCATTCCATAACTCATTTTTTTTTCCATTATTTTCTTTTCCTCCATGAATTGTTTTTATTCCTTCTATTAATGTTTTAACACCACTTAAAACATCTCCACTTTTTACATAAAGCCTACTCCTTTCAATCCATTCTTTGATATTATACGGCTCTTTCTTAAGTAATACTAAATTCATTTGAATATTTTGATTTCCAAGTAAATATTCTTTTCTTTCTTCTATTACTTGTTTTTCTACTTCTTTTATTCCTGGTTTATTTATATAATTGTGTATAACTTGTTCATAGCATTGTCTTACAATATAAAGATCTCTTAGTGTAATCACTTCATTCATTGCTTCTTCTAATATTGAAATTCCTGTTTCTATTCTCCCTTCTTTGATTTCATACAAAGACATTCCAACCCATAAACTTCCAGTATCTTCAGGAAATTCTTGAATTCCTTTTTTCATTATATTTTGAACATCAATTCCTTTATCTTGGATAGTAAGACTTTCAAAAATATGAATCATAAAATCATATTCTTCTTTTTTCATTCTAAATGAATGTAAACTAACGTTTTGAATTAATAATTTTAATGCAAGAGGGTAATATTTTTCTCCTTTCTTTTTACAAATTTGAATATATTCTCCGATCATTCCCCTATCTAATAAAATATGTCTCAATACTAATTTCTCAAATAATAGTGGTGTGTTTAATGTAATCACAAATTTCATAACAACTTTCCAAAGTTCATTGTGTTGACCAATTGGTAAAGATTGTAATGACCTATCAAATACTCTTCTCATTTGTGTTATTTCTCCATTTTCTATTAACCATTCAATATACAATTTCCATATAACTGGCATTTTATTCATATATACTAAACTCTCTTCAAATACCTCATTTACACTCTTTCTAATCTCAGTGTCAATTCCACTCTTTCTTGCATTTGTAAGAATAGTTTGAAGGTAATGATACCACAATTTATAACTTCCTGGCAATTCACTAATTCAATAAGTCTTTTATTATTTTATGGAGAATTATTCACAAACTGTAATGCTCGTTGGAAAATAGTTACTTTGGATTGAAAATGACTTTCATCAAAATATTCAACATAATTCCACCAAGTTTTAAATGATTGTGGATTTTGTTTTACATCATATTCATATATTGAAATATTCTTTTCTTCATTCATGTGATGATAAAATATTGTTTGCAAGTTTTAAGATTCTTCTTCTTTTTTAAAAACAAGAAAAACAAAAATAAAAATGTGTCATTTATGAACAGCTTTTATTAAATAAAAGTAAATAATCACTTACAAAATATTTTAGTTGTTGTTGGAATTGAACTAATGACTCATCTTGTTTTATTTCAATGTACTGAAGTAAATATTGATAATATCTATTCTTTATTGCATCTGTTAGTGTTGTAGATAAGAAAGATGATACAACACTATAAAATGAAGAATAATTAGAGGGTGAAGATGAAATAATAGAATAAAGTAATTCTGATAAAACATCAAAACTATGCATTGAAGATATGAGTACTTTAATAAATGTATTTAAAAATGATGGTAAAGAAGAACGTAATGAAGTGAGAGAAAAGAATGAAATAGTTTTATTTAATTCAAGTAATCGTTTTGAAATAGTTTGAACCATTTCAATATCAGAAGATTGTATTCCATTTTCAATAAGTTTTGAAGCAATTTCAGAGAATTCTGGGTAATCATCAATGTTTTTATATTGTATTTGAACTACATCAAAAAGAATATTAAATCCTTCTCTAAATACTTCTGAACCAATAGTATATTCTGAAAGAATATTTGCAATATCATTTAAACAGAATAAAAATGCTAAGAATGTAGTGTCTGAAAAAGTTTTAGAAGGAGAATCTCCATATATAGAGCACCATACTAAAATAAATTTAGAAAGTAATTGTATGAACATACATATAACATTAGTTTTTAATTGATTTGAAGATGTGACTATTTCAAGTACATGACCAGAAAAAATATTCATATACTTTTGTAAAAGTATTGAAATAATTTCTTCTTTTAAAGTATTTGTTAATTTCATAAAACAACACTTTATCATTTTAGTTATAACATTTACTATATCATCATTAAATTGTGAAAATTCTAAAAGCTCAAATGTTTTAAATAATGTGTTAATATGTCCACTTATGATTTCTTTTTGTATTACATTAAGATTACTTGTTTCATTAACAAATGTAATAATGATGAGACATAAATGTTTAATAAGTGATTGGTCTTTATTTTTGATTGAATTTATTAATGGTTGAATACATAAATTATCAAAAACTGTTTGAAAAGTTATTTGAATGAAATATGATTGAGTATCGTTTGATTCTATAAAATTTATAAGAGTATTTAAGAATTGTGATATTGCTTCTATTTGAATAATTCCATGAAAATGAGAAAAAAATTGTAATGGTTGTTGATGAATAGATGAAGTAAATGGAAATTTTAAACATTGAATACCAATTGTTTGAATAAAACAAAATGTTGTTTTAATAAAGAATATTGAAACATTAGAAGATGAACATTTTTGACTTGTTAGTATTAGTTTTTGAATATAGTTATTTGCCCATTGATCAAATTGGTTAGAATATATTAATGAAATACAAGTATAAAAACTTTCAAAAACAGTTAATAATTGTTCTATTAGTTCCATTAAAATAACTGAGTCTTTTTCTTCTTGTAAATAATTTAATATTTCAAAGAAAGGATTATATAATGTTAATAACTCTTGAAAAGGTAAAGAATGAACAATATACTTTGGTTGAAGAAATATAAAGAAATAACATAATGACGTTAAATCAGCTAATTCCATTTCATTTAATCTTTTTGAATGTTTTAAAAGAATAATAGAAGATATTTGATTTAAAGATTGTTGAATTTGACTGATAACTATTTGAGGATTATTTAAAAATATAATTTCTAATGTATTAATATTTAAATTAAGAACTCTTTTGTATTGACTTTCATTTGAACCAACAGAAGAGAAGTCAATACAATTCATTTGATGATTAGTTGAATGATATGATGAATATATAATTAATTGAATTAATTGAATAATAAGTTGTTCAGAATTTCCCATTTTAAATACATTAAAATTATTAGGTAGTTTTAAAATTGTATAAATCACTTCTATTTCATGATGAATAATATCAATTTTATTTCTATTAATTTGGTAATAATTTAATAAATTTTGAAGAATAAAATAAACCATTTCTTGATTTAACATTAATCCAAAAGAATTAATAAAAGTTAAAAGAACAATAAGAGCTTTATCATCACCTGATTTTAAGAAAGTTTGAATAATGTCTAAAAATAATGGAATAACTTCTTTTGTAATGTTTTTATTAGAAATTAAATCATTAACACAATCAAAAATATCATCTTGAAGTTGTTTATATGTAATAAATAATTCTCTTAATCCAGGTATTAACATTGTATTTGAAATACATTTCATATCAATATATTGTGCTATTAATTTAATTGATATAATAGAATTTTGTGGAGATGTTGAAATCATTTTAATTAAAAATTGAATAATTTCATACCCATTTCTTTTCAATGAATTTGTTATAATAAAACGTTGTTTAATTAATATATTTTGTTTAACTTTTGTAGAATTAAGATCTTCTAATAATAATTGAAATAATAAAACAATTAATGGATAGTATTTAATATCTTTTATTAGTGATAAATAAATAGAAAGTATTGAATCATTTTCATCTAACTTTCTACAAATTACTCCATTAAAACATTCTCCAATCTTCATACAAAGTAAACGTTGATTTAAATCATACATTTGTTTTAATGAAACAATTAATAAATTTAATAAAACATTTAATTGTGGGTCATTATTATCAAACAAATAAATCCAATGCTTTATGATTTGAAGTGAAAATAAAATAATTTCTAATTGTTCTGTAGAACAATTATTGAGAATATTACAAGCCCACTGAAACCCATTTATTGAAGAAATAGCATCAGATGCTTTTTTTCTAATTTCAATTGAATTATTTCCAGAATATAAATCAATTGCAATACGTTCCATAAGAAGAATAGATCTGAAAACTTAAAAAATTTTTGAAAAAGAAAAAAAATATTAACACCTTTCTTTCAATTTACATCTTCTTTCTTCTTAACAGAATATTTCTAACTTTATTTTTAATATTTTTAATGAAAATTAAAGAAAGAAATAACGAAATAATATTTTCAAAGACATTCATGAAAAAGGTTATTATTTAATAAATACCATAATAAGAAAAAAGCTATTAGTACTGTTTAATTAAAATAAAAGCATAAATAAACAATTATTAAAATGAAGAATTTATCTTTTTTTTTATTAAACAAAAATAATAGAAAAAGAACTTTATTTTAAATTATTTATTTAATAGTTTAATGGAAAATATTATTCAACAACAATTTATTAATTATACTCAGTTACTTGCTATTATTGATTCAGGTAAATTTCAAGAACAACTTGCTAAATGGTATTTACAAATAATTGAAAATGGTGTAGTTTCATTTGTAACTCAAGAAGGTGTTAAGATGTCAATTATAGGAAAAGATTATAATACAAAACCAACTGATTTAAATGAAATTAAAAGAAATTGTGATATATTTGACAAGTTGTTAGATCCTAAAAACGAAGATAAAATAAGAAATGAATTAGTTATTCCAATTACTTCAATTATTTATCCTATAATAAAACAAGTATTATTAATATTTAGATATATCTTATTGTTTGTTATTCTTCTTTCTTTTATTTTCAATTCATTAATAAAATATATTAAAATTTTTAGAATTGAATTCAATATTCCATTAAATCAATCTTTAAATTTAACTTCTACAAATTCTTTTCAACAAAAAGTTATTGGAGATTATTTGTATTTATCGTCTTTAATGGATGAAACTAAAGTTAAAAAAGGAAAGACTGAAGTTGATGTTGTAACATTTGTTGGTTTAATTTATAATTGTCTTATAAGGATGACTTGTGAATGTAAAACTAGTTATAAACACTGGTCACAATAAATTAATTTCTTTAAAACTCTGTCTAATTTCTTTTGAACATAAAATTAATTAAGATAATGCAATTCATTTTATTTATTTTTATTTAAAAATTTAAAAAATAAACTTCTTTTAATGTATTTAACTTTTTAAAATATTCTATTTTCTTCTTTACATTTTTTCATTAATACTTTTCTATTACTAACTCTTCTTTTTATCTTCCCAATAATATATTTTTTATTCCTAATACTAATACATTAAATGTTATATTTAAATAAATACAAATATGCTTTAAGTTATTCTACTTATTTTCGTTATATTAATTTAGAATTCATTTTCTTATGTATTAATTATTTACAATTAAAAAATTATTATTAACTTATTTCCATTTTTTATTTCATATTCTAATGTATAAATCAAAAGAATGTATATTATTCTAAGATAAATTATAATTCGACTGTTTCAATGTATAATTCATCTGATAATTACACCATTAGTCTAATTTCTGAAAATAAATATTGATATTTTAATGACTAAACTAACACGTATATGAAGCTATATGATTTTAAATTCCATTGATAATATGTAATTCGTTATCTATACATTTTCTTGACAATATTTATTCATCCTAAATCTATGTTGTATTAAACAACTTTTTGACCTTTAATCCTTAATAAATATGTTTTATCATCTGTTGTGTATATTCCACTTTTTTTCTACTTAAAAATGAAAAAATTCACTATTCTTGTATAAGGCAGTATCAAATTTACTTACTACTATAATACTCTCTTCAAAAAATCTTATTATTCTTCTAATTATTTTTTTAAATACCATAGTATTATATCAAAAATAAAATTTTATTTATGTATTTTAATTGGAGTAAAATTAATTTAATATCATCGACTTATGGCATTTTAATTATACAATTATTCACTAAATACGTGTCTTTATTTTTATTGGAAAGCTTTATTTCAATTATTAGTAAATAATTCTACTCTCTCCTAACTATTTTCCATATTTCAATTTAATAATGTGAATTTAGTCAAAAAAAGGTCAATTACTAAGATATATCTACAATCGGATTGTCTTCGTATTGAGAAGTGATCATTTTAGTTTTTTCAATATTCTCTATTGGTATTATAAAGTTATTTTTCAACATGCTCGCATTATATGGTTCTTTTTCTACTGTGTTGCCAGAATTATACTTGTTAATTTTGTCAAATTGTATGATTTCTAAAATACTATTTTAATAACAGAGTTTATTATAATAAATTTTTATTATAATTATTTTTATTTTTCTTTCCCTGAATTATTATTTCATCATAACATTAACTACATTATTAGCTAATATTTATTAAATTCAATATAAATAAATGGTAATTTAAAAAAAAATTGTGTTAACACAAAATAGATAGTAATTACTAATTAAGTTATTATATTTGGTGAATAAGTTTTAATGAAAGTATTTACCTACACCACCATTTTTAGAATGACTAGTTTATTATAGATTTAATTTATAATACTACATTTGTACTTGTTTATTATTTCTTTTTTTAATAAATAGAAAAGTATTTTATAAATAATTCTAATAA